CATCCATCCATGCATCCATCATCCATGCATCCATCCATCATCCATCCATTCATGCATCCATCCATCATCCATCCATGCATCCATCATCCATCCATCCATCCATCCATCCATCCATCCATGCATCCATCCATCCATCCATCCATCCATCCATCCATCCATCCATCCATCCATCCATCCATCGATCTATCGGCAGTATTTGAAATAGTTCTGTTAACATTTGGTATAATTAATAATAAAATTTGATAAAAGTTTTTTGGGCAGCACGGTGGTGCAGTAGAGCTGCTGCCTCTCAGCGAGCAGGTCGCCCTAGTTCAAATCCCGGTCCGGGGGCCTTTCTGGGTGGAGTTTGCATGTTCTCTCCGTGGGTTTCCTCCCACAGACTAAACACATGTTAGACTGACTGCTAACTCTAAATTGTCTCCGTGTCCCTGTGATGGACTGAGACCTGTCCAGGGTGTACCCCGCCTCTCGCACAGTGACGGCTGCACATGAGAACCGGTGATCCCCGTGACCCAAAATGGAAGAAGCGGTTAAAAGATGACGGATGGATGGTTTTAATAACCTTTCAACTGTTCCAGGGTATTATTAGAACATTATTCTTGATATAATTTGATTTAGTTAATAATAATATTTGAAGTTTTTAGGATAACTTTTGAAATGGTTATAATATTTTATATAATTAAGAATAAACTTTGATATAACCTTTCATTAACACAAAGAAAAAGCTCTGCTGTAGTAAATATGTAACGTTTTATAGTTTTTCATGATTTAAACAGATGTAATGAGAAAAACAAATATTTTAGAGTTTCTAACCATTTCTGACTTTTCTGTAACAGTTGGGACATAAATATGCAAAGTATCTTTTACATTTTTTATTGAATTTGACGTCTGAAGATCTTGAAGACCTCCAACTTGGCGTTTTTTCACCCGCAGCAGATCAGCTTTTTAACTCACGTGGTTCAAAAACAAGAGTTTTGTCTGAAGACAACTTGTGTCATTTCAGTCACACCCTGAAACTAGAAAAATGAAGCTGCTTTGACACGAGACGACGACTCTGTCAGAAAAAATACAAACATGATTATAAACGGTCTGCAGACTTTATGTCTGTCATGAACATAAAAAAGAAGCTTAAAAACAGTCTTTGTTGGTCACAGCAGATGAAGTGGTCACAGTTCACTGGTTTCCTCCGCACAACGAGGGGAAATATGAAGACAGAAATGTTCAGTACCCACTGCCGCAGCGCTCACAAGCAAGGCACTTTTACCGCAGGCTTGTTCCTGTGGAGCCGCTCATCAGTTTATTTTCTAAGTAAATCGAAGCTAAAAGCATCCCTGAATAAGAAAATCAAAGCAAATAAACAACTGCGGTTCCCGGGTAGAAGCAGGTATTTTACAAGTTTAAATAACAATAAAATTTATGGCTAGATGCAGAAAATATACACTCTGACATTTATGGAGAGCTTGACCTAAAAAATACAAATGTGCAAAAGTTGTAAACAAAGATTTGTGTTGAGGGTTTCACAGCCGGGTGGGTTCCTCGTCGCTGTCGCTGCAGTTCCCACAGCACTCCTGCAGGGGGCGACAGAGCGCACGCTGACGTCAGAAGATGCAAACTGGGAACAAAACTGCAGATATTGAGCTGTAATTTGGTGTGATGGTAGCTGAGAGTCATCCCCAACCTCTGAGCTGCAGCAGATTGTGTTAGAGCATTTGAAACGCACTCTGCGCTGCGACTTGTTGACCCGTCATGTGATGTGTCAAACTTTTCCCTGACGTGCAGCTCGTGTGTCAATTTATCGCAACCAAGTCTTAAATTAAAGACCGTTTTGACGAGCAACCTGTCAAAGAATGATTGAACACGATCTGAGCAGAAGTCCTGGTATTTAAATAAACCTGTTTCTACGTTGGGAAAACTCACAGAAAACCTGGATGAGTGGTTGGACTTCTCTGCAAACTCAAGGGAAACTAGAGTCCACACTCTGGTTGTAAGAAAACTAAAGTAAACAGCCTTTTAGGAAGTTTTTCTTTGTTCCTGACATTTCATGGTCCTGTCAGCTCGATATACAAGGTTCGTTTAAAAATGTGAAGACAGAATGTTTTATTTCATATTCTGAAGCAGGCTCAATAATCCAAGGAGAAAAATCTAACAAAGTCTGGATTGATTCTAAAAAAATTAAAACTTGTTGAAACGTTTCGTCTTTTATCCAGAAGACTTCTTCAGTCTGAGGAGATGCAACAAACTCAGTCTTATAAAAAGCACCTCCTCATGGTGGATCAACCTGTTTGTTGTTGACATCCAGAACCAGCTGTTCACATGATCAAGGACCATGAGTCTAACGACGGATCGTTAGTGCCCTGACGGCCGCTTGCTATTCACAGAGGGCTGAGCGATACTAGCAATAACAGCATTGTAAGAGGCTCCGCCCCTGTTTAATGATGAACGGGTTGTGAACATCTTCATTCCTCAAAGAGTGACCTCTGGTGTGGAGATGAGTGTAGACTGATTTATTTCACGAAGCAAACTTTAAAGACTATTAGAGCCCGATCAATAGATCTGCAGGGCTGATCATTTTGGTCGATATAGGCGTATTGGCGATACAAGCACGTCTAATTTTCACCCCTAAAATGCTGGAACCAGCTGTACTTGTACGATGTATCCAGCAGAGGGCGCATGAAGACAACTTTCAAGTCATGGCCGTTCACTTAAGTTTCACTTTCAGCACAGTTGAAGCAGCGAGCGATACTGTGCAGCGTGTTTTACTGAACAGACCATGGTGAGTTTATTTAACTGATCTTTGGGTCTGTTGAAATAAACCTCCCGGGCAACATTTATCCCACAGCGAGAGCAACAGGACGGTCTGCCGGTGTGTGGAGCGCTGGTTCCAGACAAATGGAACCGGATCAGTCTGCAGAGCCACCAGCTCAGATTGAGTTTAGTCAAAGTGGGGAACATCTGCTCACCTGCCGGCCGAAGAGCCGCTGCAGCAGCCCCTGTTTGGTCGGAGGAGACGGCTGACCTCTCCAATCCAGGTCAGGACAAACGGCGCCGTCCTCGTTAAACACGTTCAGCTCGGTGAAACACTCGGTCTCGATCATCTGCAGGAGGAAACAAACGAAACCTGAAGCTTGAAAGGAGTGGGCGATATGCATTCATGGAGGAATGCTAGTTTTATGCATCACCTCGTTCTGCCAGGGGATGGAGACGCAGCCGGTGGACACTTTGCTGTAGAAGGTCTCGTCTTTGGGGTCGAGCTCCACGCCTTTCACCGTGGAGAACTGCTCGATGTCCAGAACGTCTTTACAGTAGACGGCCTGCGGCTGAAACGCAAAACAAAATGTTTGCAGCTCTGAACACGAAGCAGCTGGACCTCCATGAGCCGATGGTTCCTGCCTGAGTTATTAACTCCACCTCCTCGGCTGTGAGCAGCTCTGTCAGTAAAATATCATGTAGTTCATCACACGTCTGAGTTATTGTGTGAACGTTCATGAAGCTTCACGCTGTCATCCATTTCTCTTCCGTACGTTTTTCAGCTGTTTCAACAAATCATGAATCAAAACATTCGGCTCTTTCAGGACAGTCCTGCTGTGACTTTTGGCATTGGTGCAACTTTAGCTTTTTGAAATATTTAGCTGTTTCTGACATTTTGTTCTCATAAAAATTGAGTTGAGCTCATTTTCCATCCTTCACATCTTTAGCTGTGTTTACAACCTTTTACTGCTCCTTTCACATTTTCTTCTGCTTCAGCTTCTTTCAGCTTCCTTCAGCAAATTCAAACTTCTTTCAGCTAATTTCAGCTACTTTCAGCTAATTTCAGCCGTTGTTCAGCTGTTTTGTGCTCCTTTTAGAGTCTTTCTTCTAACTACAACATTTTTGTGCTTCTTCTAACTTCTTTCTGCTCATTTCAGCTTATCTCTGCAAGTTTCAGCTTTTCTACTATTTTGGCTACTATTTAGCTGTTTTTATTCTAATTTAAGCCTTTTCAACTAATTCCACATTTTTTGCACTCATTTAAACTGTTTTCAGCCTAATTCAGCAAAATGTGCTCTCTCCACTTCCTTCTGGTAATTTAAGCTTCTAATTTTTTAGCTACTTTTTCAGCTGTTTTTTGTGTGTGTGCTAATTTCAGCTTTTCTCAGATAATTTCTACTTTTTTGTGCTAATTTCTGCTTCTTTCAGCAAACGTGCTCTTTCTGCTTTCTTCTGCTAATTTAGACTTGGTCTCCCATTTCAGCTGTTTTTCAGCAAGTTCTTCTGCAGAAAACATTCACACTGCATTTTCACAGGAAGTGCAATTTCTCTAGTTTTTTATTTTTACACTTCACGCTGACATCAAATAAAAGCGGCGCTGCTGATGGAGAAGCCTTCAGCTAGCTTTAGCTGCGGATAAATGTGACCTGCGCTGCAAAGTGCGGCGGAACGAGCTCAGGCTGAAGTTTAAACGTTCACGTTTGTCGTGACTGAGATTTGAATAAAAATTAGTCCAAGACGACGACGTCCACTGATCCCAGTAAGTAAAACGACATATAATGGTCTTAATGTCGCCATCTGGAAATCCCCTCGTATAATGTTTGACTCAGAACGGACTTCTTGTAGCCGTACGTCACGTGGGGCTGACAGGAAAACAGAAACATATCAGCCGTGTGACCAGCGGGTTGTTCTGCCGCTCACGGTTCAAGAATCTCAGATCAGACCTTCAGGTTTCACTCAGCGACTGTTCGTTTGAGGCTTACTTTTTAGTCTGCTTCTGTCTGCCTCTCTGCTGCCAGGGAGGAACAGACGCAGGTGTGTGGTTACCATGGTGACCGTAACAAACCACTGGCAGCAGCTTTAACATTAGTTCTCTGCGATTTATCAGCTTAGATCATTACAAAGTAAAAGTCCCAACTTCCTGTTGGGCGTCGGAGAAGAAAGTTGATGGATGTTGGTAGTTTTTGGTTTTTAAAATTTATTGTATTTAAATTATTTAAAATGTGTTGTTTTGTGTCATTTGTCAAGACTTTTTAAACGTGACTGGAGTTTGAGGAGTGACTGAAATTAGTCCTTGGTTTGAAATATTTTCATAATCTTGACCTCGTTTTGTAACAGAGTTTGACCCCCCCCAGCTGTAGAGTCTGGAAAACCTTTGGATCAAGACCACGTTCAAAGATCACAAACTCCTGAGACTGTTCGGAACCAAAAACAACTCAACACAAAATAAAACTGGTTAAAAACCTCCAGTTCTCCAGTTCACGGACTGGTTGTTACTCACATCGGGGACGAAGGGCGGCTGCAGCATGCCGGCCTCCAGACGCTTGAAATTTATGGAACGGAAGATGGGGTGACCTTTGACCTCAGAAGCTCCGTCCCCGTGGCAGCCCAGCCGCTCTGTGGGGTCTTTGACCAGCAGCTGAGGAGATACAAACAGGAAACTGTCAAAATAAAGCTACAAACAAAAAATAAATGTCAGTCAGGTGAGGCTTGTTTGGTCAGTCTCTCTTTTAAAAACGATCATTTATCTGAAAAAAACCCCAAAATTTATAATTTGTATTTTCAAATTCAACTTTGCTGTTAGATTTTGGGCCATATTTGACACTTGGGTACAAATATTTACCGTAAATGTTTTATTAACCCTCACAGAGTCTTAAACAGCCTCACATTTATTTTGGTCTGTGGTTTTATTTATTTATTTATTTTTGGTGCCGGCGATGAACACATTTTTTTTTCTTCTGATAAATAAATAAAAAAAAAATCCTACTTTTCTTTTCCCATTTTAAATTCTGTCACAGTTTAAAATGGTCCCAGAGTAACTTTACTGCCCTCTAGTGTTCCTGAGGGGAACCCACCACAGGGAAATCCCTTTATAAATGCATTTCTGATCCCGTTATTATCGTATCATAAAATTAGGCGTTCCTTTCAGTAAAGGCTCTGAAAGAGTTAAACAATTCATTTAAAGCTCATATTTTAATTTCAGGCTGAGATAGCTTGGAAAGACTGATTAGTTTATTTTGGAAATACATATTTAAAAATATAATTTTTAAGCAGTTCTGTATTGTGGCTGATGAACACTCTCATAAAAATGGGTCCTTCTGAGGGTTAAACTGTTCTGAAATCCTGCGACGACATGTTTGACATTCTGGTCATTTATTTTTAATTCAACCAAATGTTTCCTCACAAGTTGTTTTTCAGCAAACGAAGATTTAAAAACGCCTCGTCAACAACAGGAGGCGTCATTTTTCATCTCCAACCTGACGGGAGCTCGAACGGAGAGAAAACGCTCCACTGACCATTTTACAGATGGACTTGGCGTCTTCGGAGAACTTCTCGGAGTACTCCTCCTCCACCTCCCGGACCAGCCGCTCCACCTCCTCCCTCTTGATCTTCTTCTTCCTCTGCTGGAACGGCGACTGGCCCTCGATCATCTCGTAGAGCAGGCAGCCCAGCGCCCACCAGTCGGGGCTGAAGGTGTAGCGCTCGTTCTTCACCACCTCTGGAGCTTCAGGACGGGACGGGTCAGAGAGGTCACCAGAGGTCACCAGAGGTCAAACGAGAGGAAAAGTTGAAAAGAATGAACGAAAAGCAAAGTGGAGGAAAGATTACCATCTTCTGTGTTAGTTGGAGCAGTTTCCAGGAAGTCTTTTTAATTTTTTTATTTTAACTTTAGCTGTTTTTTTCAGTTTTAGCCCTGAATATTTTATTTTAGTTAAATCGTGTCGTTTTTGTGCCAAAATCCTGAAGTGGTGTGATTGTGTGGTAGGAGGTACCGTCTCCAGTTGATGATGTCATCGGTGCCACGGCCAGCTGTGATAGAAAGCTGTAGGGCAAAGAACGACGTTATAGTCGCCTTGTTTATCGGTCAACATTGGTCTCCTATTATTTTTGTTTCACAAGTGGCATTGGTTCAATAATTTGTTGGCGGTCCATAAGCGAGCCGCCATGTTTAGAAACTAATTTATTATTAGCTTTCTCCAGAGCTAATAGCGTTAGCTCCAGAGCTAATAGCGTTAGCTCCAGAGCTAAATATATG